CTTCTTCCAAGTTTGGATGCTTGAAGACAAGTCATCAGATCTCCTCCTAAGTCTTGTCAAAGCACAGCATCTCCATTTCCTTCATCTGATCTTGGTTTCCCTCATTTGCTTGGCCACCCCTCTTGAGGCACACTCCAGATTGCCAACATCTTTCCTCAGTGTGGCACCCAGTTCTGAACATATTACTACAGATGGGGTCTGGCCAAGGGAGAATACCATGGGCTTATCACCACCCATGTTCTAGATACCATATCTAAAAAAATGCTCTCAGCTTTTGGGGGCTGCTGACTCCTATTGTTAACTGACATTTGACTTATTGTTTTTGTCTATCTTCCACCTACTTCTTAATGTAAACTCCATTTATGATTTCCAGTTTTGTCTTAGTGTGCCCATAGCCTAACATGGTACCTGGCACATAGCAATGCGGTGCACAAAAAGTGCCAGGTTTGGATTTAGCTGACCTGGGTTCAGATCGAGACTCAACTACTTATTCCCTGTTTGACTTTGGGCAGATCATTTAACCCCTACAGGCCTCAGCTCCTCCTCTGTAAAATGGGTTGGTTGGGCTAGATTGCTTTTAAATGCCTGGTGAGGATCAAATGGGATTGTTGTAAAGAATTTAGCACAATGCCTAGAAAATAGTAGGTGCTAAATAAATGCTGAGAGATGTGATTACTTCCCTTTTATATTAATAACCAGTTAATATGGGAGGAGGGGAATCTAGGTTTTTTTCTTTTCTGTTTCCTCATTCAAAGTCCAAACTTCTCAAGTGCATTTCTGACCTTGCCCAAAGAATTCACCCCACCCACAACATCTTACCTAGGTGGAACTCTTACCCCACCTTGTTCATTGACTATGTAGAAGACAGATCCTTTTGTATAGAGGCAGGAGTGGTCTATCTTGGATGAATCTCTTTTTGTCCTTGAGTGACATGATCAGAGTCACATACCCAGCCCCACTTAAAATAGGCCCACCTCTCATTGTAGTATTTGTTCTCCCATTAGCCAATCAGAGTTGATTTCCACCTGTTGGGAATATCCAATCTTCAAAGGATATATAAGTATTGAGTGGCCTCCATGATTTGGTTCTGGTTTATGAAAGGAAGCCAAATGACCATCATTTTATTAATTATCTGCTAGCCATAATTAACAAAACTGATTACCCAGAAATTATGTCTCTTGGACTTTTCATCTATTACATCCTTATTTTGTAGGTGTAGAAACAAGAGTTTAGAAGAGATTAAAAGCCCAGATCAAGGCCACACAGGTATCAGTGGCAGAGTTAGGATCTGAATCCAGATCCCCACTATTTCTAAATCCAACATCAATTGCTCCTGTTCTGCGCTGCCTCCAGGTTTCTGATCATCCAGGACAGAGGATCGGCCACTATTTTCCACTGAGATTTGGGAGGCTAAGAAGGAGGAAGCCTTTATATTTTTGTTCTGTAAACCTAGGTGATAGGAGCTACATTTGAAAAAAGACCTGCTGCAGTGTCTCGGCTGTTACTCAGATTAGGACTCCACATTTCTGAAAAGTAGGACTTAAGGTTTCAGTGACACGACAACCTTCTGTCGGCCCTTCAGTTTTGATGCACTCTTGGAAGAATGGGCAGCAGTGCACGTCAAGTGGGAAAAGTGGAGTGAATCATCCGTGAAATACACATTGCCATAGAGAAGTGGGTGTACGATAATAATAGCCACTCCTCTCATTTTGTTAATGCTTTATGGTTTACAAAGCCCTTTTATCACAACAATCCTGTGAGGCAGAGAGTGGAAGTATTATTATGCCCTTCCCAAATACCCTCACCCACACAATGACCCAGCTGAAACGCCACCTGCTTATAGAGCCTTTTCTCCCAGTCCGAAAGGATGATAATGATAGCCGACATTTATATCCTGCTTGAAGGTTTGCAAAAAGCACATTACATTCAGTATTTAATCTGAGTCTCACAGTAGCCCTGCAAAGTATGGGTATTATTATCTCCATTTTACAGATAAGGAAACTGAGGTTTGTACAAGTGAAGTGATTTACCCATGTTCATATGGCTAAGTGCCAGAGGTGGGATTCAAATCCAGATCACTTCCAAATCCAGGTCCCACATTCTTTCCACTATACCAAGCTGACTCTCATCTGAGACATGATGCTTCTTTCCTCAGATTTCACATAACTGACTTTTGTTCTCTTCTTAGTGGACATTATTATAAATTATAGTTATCCACATATTGAATGTCATAGCCCCTTATTAGAGAATAAGTCTCATAAAGACAGAGACTGTCCTCTAATCTTTTTATCCCTTCTAGAATCCTGTAGAGTACTTTGCATGCATAAGGCACATAATATTGATTTCAATAAATCCTCAGTTAACTGGATTGCCTAGGTACTGGGAAGTTTTAGCAGTTAGGTTACTTTCATCCATTTGAGCCTGATAATAGTCCTGTGAGGATGACAGGGCAGGGATTATTCTCTCTACCTTATACTGGGGCATATGGAGGCCCAGAGAAGTAACTTTTACAAGAGTATATGGCTAATAGGGTAGAAATGAGTCTCAAACTCAGGTTTCCTGACTTCTAGGACAGTGCTTTTTCATCCAGGGTTGCAGTAGCTATGGAGGGGGCCACAGCAGGGAGGAAGTAGGGCATGTATGCCACTGTCATAGATAGATGCAGTGAGGTCTAAGGAGAAAGGTATTTTCTGATAGGGGGTTTCAGGAAAAATTTCTTGGAAGATGGGGTACTCAGGAGAACAGTCTTAGGAATAAGATGAATACATTTGAACTAGCCAAAGTCAAAAGAGTTGCCATGAATGGTTCAAAGTCAACTTGGCAGGTCTCCATTGCCCCATGGATCTATGCTTAGCCCTTTGATGCTTAATATTTTTTATCAGTGACCTAGGTAAAGACTTAGATGAAATGCTTATAAAAATTGATAAACAACGTAATGCTTGGAAGGAAGGATAACACAATGGATGGAATTGTTCTTATATTGAGTTGAATCAAATTAGATGAAATTCAACAGGGTTAATTGTAAAGTCTTACATTTGAGTTAGAAAAGGAAGGGCTATTGGGGTAGGAGAAAGAACCAGGAGTGTGATGTCTGTGAAACTGAGAGAAAAATATGAAGCAGGAAGGGCAAAGCTGGCACGTGTGTGTGTGTGTGTGTGTGTGTGTGTGTGTGTGTGTGTGTGTGTGTGTGTGAAATCTTATTTGATCTTCACAACATGATGAAATGGATGGTGTGAGTATTATTATTACTCTTACTTACTGGTGAAGACACAGAAGCTTGGGAAAGCTAAGTACTTTAACCTTTTCAACCAAGCTCTCTCTTGACTCTTAAGTTCAGAGCTTCTTCCACTGAACAGAGATCACAATTAAAGCAAAGAATAAGTTTGGTGTGAGTTACGGAGTAAGAGAAGTAGAAGGATAGGACATTGTGGAATTTCAGAGTTCTGAGTTTTTCTGTTGGTATCATTCTGAGACTGTGTGTGACTCTGTTGGTCTGTAGCTGAAGTAAAACAGAGAAGGAGGTCCTGGAGTGTGGATGGTAGAGGAATTGGGAAATCAGGTTCTTAGAGCAGTAGTCAACATTAATATTGTTACTGGCATGAGATGTGTTGGAGATTGTGAGTCAGGTTCTAAAGTTGGTGGGAAAGTTAAAAGATTGACCTGGAGGCTGGTGGGTACTAGCAACAGTGATGGGAAGAGGTTAGTATAGAAAAACCACAAAGATGTCAACAAGTGAGGGGCAACAGAAGGATGGCAGTGCTGGAAGCAGCACAGGAACAAGCAGAATTCATAGGGATTCATTAAAAGCAGTAGGAAGCAGTAGGACTAGTGATTCCAGGGTTGCATAGAATTGAATAGGCTGAATTGAATTCCAGTAGAGCTGAATAGACTGGATATGAGTTAATCCCAATTCCTAATCAAATTCTAGAGGCTGTGCTATAGACTGCTGGAGATTTTAAGCACAGCATACACCAAAGGATGGAGAAGTGATGCTTCTGTACCACAAGGTCAGCAACATGTATCCTTGAGAACATGTGTTTCTTTCCCACTCTGGTTAGAGGTCACAGGTCCCTAACACAGCTCATCTCCTGAAAGATGGCCTTTGGGAATAAATAAATCTCTATACAAAAGAAAGGCAGGTTATATAAGGAAACTGGTGAGGTGGGTCACACAGGGTATGCACGTATCTAGACATATGTTCTCAGGATTTCAATATTTTAGAAAGCCATCCCTGGAAGAAACACTTGCCAGAAATTAGTCTGTTTTCCCCTCATGAGAAGTCCGTGCACATAGGCTGTTCTGCCACCCATGCTTGAGAACAGACTGACTGTCCCTCTTCCTTTCTTTGTCTCTGTCTCTGTCTCTCTCCTCTTTCTCTTGTTCTCTCTGTCTCTGTCTCTCTGTGTCTCTCTCTCATTCTCTCCCTCCCTTTTTCTCTATCTCATTCTCTCTCTCTCACTTCCTCATTCTCTGTTTCTCTTTCTTGTTCTCTGTCTCTCTCCCTCTCATTCTCTCTCTCTCATTCTCTTTCTCTGTCTCTCTCTTTTTTTTTTTTGGTGAGGCAATCGGGGTTAAGTGACTTGCCCAGGGTCACACAGCTAGTAAGTGTCAAGTGTCTGAGGCTGGATTTGAATTCAGGTCCTCCTGACTCCAAGGCGGGAGCTTTACCCACTGCACCATCTAGCTGCCCCTGTCTCTGTCTCTTTACCTATGTCTCTGTCTGTCCGTCTCTATCATCCTCTCTCTGTCTCTGTCTCATTCTCTCATTCTCTTCCTCCATCCCCCTCTCTCTGTCTTATTCTCTCTCATTCTCTCTCTGTCTCTCTCTCTCTATTTGCCTGTCTCTCTCTCATTCTTTTGCTGTCTCTTCTCTCTCTCTCTCTCTCTCTCTCTCTCTCTCTCTCTCTCTCTCTCTCTCTCTCTCTCTCTCTCTCTCTCTTTCTCCTCCCCTCTTTCCCTCCATCTCTCCCTCTCTCCCATTCCTGGGCTTGGGAACTCACCTTCTCAGTTTCTCAGTGACTTTCTCCAGCTCCTCCTGAGCCCGCCTCAGTTCTATTTCCAAGTAGTGCCGGGTGGAATCAAATTCAGTTTCAAGTTTCTCCAGCTTGTGGGTGGTGTAGGAGAGACGCTTCCGCAATTCTCCCTTCTGTTCCTGTAGAGTGCTGGGAGGAACCACAAAAAAAGAAGAGAGCCAGCTATGAGTCCTTGGGGGAAGTTTTTGTGGCTAGTTTCATGGGACTACTCCAATGGGAGGTGGACGTAGGGAGGGCCTGTGTTTGCTTATTTTCTGAAGGCAATACAACACTTAATGAAGAGTCAGATGCAAGGATGTGCTGGAGCCAACTCTTACCTACCCTTACTAAATTTTCAGTGAGAACATTTACACCCCAGAAGGGCTACAAGTCAAGGCTTAATTTGTTAGTTTGTTGACTGTCTAGACTTGTGAAAGTGATGGAGAAAATATTAATGCAGATTGCATTTTAAAGTGGGATCATGCATTTTGGGGGAGCTGGTTGTAATCCGTTAACCAGCATAGTCCTGGTCAGACTCCATAGAATGTCAGAGGTGAAAGGTAGCACAGAATCATAGAATGTAGGATGTCAGAATTTGAAAGGGGCCTTAAAGTATCCATATCCAAATCCTTCTCTTTACAGAGGAAAAAAGCAAAAAAACAAAACCAAAAACAACAGAGACCTGGAGTGGGAAAAGTGATTTGCCAGGTCACTGATTAGTAGCTCTGGGACTACACTTGTGGAAACACGGGCAGGTGCTCTGAATGTAAGTCCTTTGGAAGAGGAGCTTTGCTTTTGTAGAACTTTGAAGAGATTAATTTATGAGCTCCAGCACTTACTTAATTCTTTTACTAGAGCAAATGACAAGGACCCTTAGGAACTGGTGTGTGGCCTCTTTCCTTCTGCCTACCAAATTAATCTCAGACTCTCAGAAGGAGAATTTCTCTACTTCAATCCAGTACTAAGTAGGAATCTCCTCTGTGACATCCCCGTCATTCAGATTTCACTTACAGATAGATCTCCAGGGATGAGAAAGCCCATTCTACTTTTGGATGGCTCTCATTATCAGAGAGTTTCCCCTTATACTGGCTGAAGTCGACTTTTCTGCACTCAGCCAGGGAGCTAAAAGAAATATACATGTTTCCTTTCAGCTTCCTTTTGGGTTTCACGAATGTCTATATTTAGAGGGAACTGAAATGCTATTAAAAACTGTAAAGATCAAGTTAATACCCTCTTTGAACAGACACTGAGGACCCAGCTCAATTTGCCAGCTAGGACGTTTGCTGCGATAGAGATCGGCTGTTAGTTGGGGCAGAACTGCAGCTGAGTCACCCCTCTTACTGATGATGGGCAGCGACTTGGGGAAACCATTCTGAGACTCATTCATCATCCAAAGGCTGATTTTCTAGGGAATAGACTCATCTTCCTGGGCTATTCTTCATCTCTCCCCTTGGCCACCGGCCACTCCACAGTTTGTCGATTTTCCCCTATGTTGATCTTTTCATTTCTTAGGGAAAAGAGAGTACCAGTATATTTTCCTGAAGCAGATAAGACTCAGTACCTGCCCTCTGAGGCCAGGCAGAACAATTCTAAGCCATTGTCAATAGGACAAACTCTTCAAAGTCTTGAAGACCTCTATTACATTCCCCCTAGCTCTTCCCTGCTCCAGGCTAAACATCCTCATTTCCTTCAGGAGATCTTCCTTTGGCAAAATCTCATGTCTTCTCACTGTTCTGAACATTCCCTTTACAGAACATTTTAGTTTGTGAATGTCCTTCCTAAAATGTTATATCCATTACTGGACAGAATACTCCACTTATGGTCTGACCCTACTCAATTGAAAAAATGCATTTGTATGTCAGGAGAGCAGACAAGGTGATAACTTCACTCATCCTGGTCACTATGTCTCTATTACAGTAGCCTAAAATGCTACTGGAATTTTTGGCTTCCATGTCTTTTTCATATTGAGCCTGTGGGCCACTGAAACACCTTGACATTTTTCTGAAGAAGTGCTCTCCAGCCTTGCCTGTCCTGTCACACACTTGGGTAGATTTTTTTTTTAATCTAAGTGCAGGGCTTTACACACATCCTTATCGGTTCAATTCTATGAATACCTACCTATTCAGTGCCTGTTATGCTGAGCCAGCACTTAACACAGTCACTAGTGCTTAGTAGCTGCTTTATAAATATTTGTTGACTGAGCGCTGGAGAACACAAAGTGCAGATAATTGAATCCTTGAGCCAATGTGGTCTTGCATCATCTTCCAGCTGTTTCATGCTTAAATGCCTTGTCTCCCTAATGAAACTGTAAACGCCTTTAGCTAACAGCAACTATAATAAAAGCTAGCATTTATATAGTGTTTTACAGTTTACAAAGTACTTTACAAATATCTCATTTGGTCCTCACAACACCCCTGAGAGGTAACTGCTGTTATCCCCATTTTACAGATAAGGAAACTGAGGAACAGAAGGGTTAAGTGACTCACTTAGGGTCACAAAGGTAGAAATGTGTCTGAGGTCACATCTGAACTCAGCACAATGCTCCATCCACTGTATTGACTAGCTGTCAAGGATTGTGTCTTTCATCTATTGCAAGTAGCTAGACATACTCATGCAAAGTACTCAGGGTCTTATTGGTGACTGAATGAATATGTATTACAATATAATAAAATTCCTCACATAGCATTTTGAGGTTCAAAAGTATTTTTATATCTGTCATCCAATTTGGTCCTCACACAAACTCAATAAGATGGGTATGAGTATTTTATAGTTAATTTAAATGCTTATATGTAATATATTATTTTATATGTCACATATTTCATTTAAATAATATTTTAAAATTTTATAATTAAGGAAATCGAGGCTCAAAGAATTATTGTCACAATACCCAGGCAGGAGTCAAACCTAGTTTTTTCCTGCTTCCAAGTTCAGCATTCTTTTCCTTATATTATATTGCAGAGTGAACACAAGAGGTATGTAAAGGAATTTCCTCAGTTTCCTAATCTGTAAATGAACATGGTAATAATTATAATTCCTACCTTATAGGACTATCGAAAGGAAAATGCTTTTAAAACCATAAAGCACTCTAGATATGTACACAGTAAAAATCATTGCCACAGCAAAGAACCCCACATCTTCAATTTTTCTCTTCTGAAAGAGTCAGGGCCAGAATGTGGCTTCATTCTCTATTCTACAGCAACAGCAGATAATGCCTAACTTAGATATCTTTGTTAACTCTAATGATAATAATAATAATGATAATCAGAATCATAGATGAAGGGATTTTAGAGGTCATCTATTCTAATTTCTTAATTTTAGAAACTAAGGCCTATGGCAGTAAAATGACTTGATCTGGGTCACACAAGGCAGTAAGTGGTAGAGCAAGAATTTGAACTCAGGACTTCCTACTCCACATACAGTGTACGTATAACTCACATTTCTATTGTTTTATAAAGCCCTTTCCTAATTAGGTAGCTAGCACAAGTATTATTATCCTTATTTTATAACTGGTAAAACTAGGGCTCACATTCTCCCAGCTATAAATATCAAAGCTAGGACTAGAGTTCTAGTCTCCTAATTCTAAATCTAGGAGAATCTAGAAGCAGGCTATGGCAGCTAGATGATACAATGGGTACAGCACTAGGCCTGAAGTCAGGAAGACCTGAGTACAATTCCAGCCTCAGACATTTCCCTAGCTATGTGACCCTGGTTAAGTCACTTAATCCTCTTTGTCTCAGTTTCTTTTCTTTTCTTTTCTTTCTTTTCTTTTCTTTTCTTTCTTTTCTTCTTTTCTTTTCTTTTTTTCTTTTTCTTTCTTTTCTTTCTTTTCTTTCTTTTCTTTTCTTTTCTTTTCTTTTCGCAATTGGGGTTAAGTGACTTGCCCAGGGTCACACAGCTAGTAAGTGTCAAGTGTTTGGTCTGAGGCCAGATTTGAACCAGGTCCTCCTGACTTCAGGGCCAGTGCTCTATCCACTGTGCCACCTAGCTGCCCCTGTCTCAGTTTCTTCAACTGTAAAATGAGCTGGAAAAGGAAATGACACACCACTCTGGTACCTTTGTTAAGAAAACTCCTAAAATAACTGAACAACAAAGATAACAAGAAACAGGCTAGAACAAAAGAGGGTAAGAAACAAAAGCCATGTTAGGAAATTCTTCCCAATTAAAATGGCTCAAGTATGACATTAGCTGATTTTGAGTTACAGGCATTCCTTTAGTCAATCTTTTCCAGGTGAATGGCTCCTAAGTATGATGATATCTCCTTGCTATGTCCATCAAATAAGTCATATCAAGATACCCAGATGTACACATTGGCTCAATCTCTTCTTTCAGCTGAGTTCCTTCATAAAAGAACAAAGATAACTCAGGACTATTTGTTTCCCCAGATATATGTTCCATCTTTGGAAAAACAAAAACAAAAACAAGCACAATGCTATCCCTACTTTTTAAGGTTCAAACTTCTGTGCGTGATTTGGCCTAACATGAGAAGATTCTGATATTTGCGTTTTTAAATGAACAAAGAGCAAAGGAAACTGGGTAGACAAGTCTCCATTCTTTAACATTGGGTAGCTTTGCTACTAAATTGTGAGGCATCAGTCTATTTCAACTTCATTCTAATGACTATACTAATCTTGCCTCTCTCTCCCTTATCAGCTCCTTCCCCCATTTCAATGAAATTCACTGTGAGTTAAAAGTGGACATGAAAGTCAGGAAAACTCATCTAGAATTTCAGAACACACCAATGCATTTAGAAGAAAGGCAATAATCTCATTGTACTCTGCCTTATTCGGATATCTGGAATCCTGAGCTCATTTCTGGGTACCATATTTTAGGTGGGACATTTAGAAGCCAGGATGAATACAGAGGAGGTTAGCCTGGATGGTGAAAGGATATATCATCCAAAGATTTGCTGAAGGACTGGGGATGTTTGAACTAAGAGAAAAGAAAGCCTGGAAGAGCAAGATTGATGCCTTAGCATATTAGAAGGGTTGTAACATGCATAAAGGTTTCGGTCTTGCTTCATGTTGGCCCTCAAACAGGTGGAATGTCCAGGGAGGTAGATTTTGACTCAACTAAGTAACCATTAGAGCTGTCCAATAATGGAATGGAGCTGATTTGTGTGCTAGTGAGCTCCCCTGTCATTGAAAGTATAT